GCAGTTTGCCTGTCTTGTCTAAGCAACAGAAAAAATAAGAAAACATCACATGCAAGAGACAGGTAATTACTGAGCACTACTGAGTAGTTTCTGTGATTTAGAATATTATTTCAGTATAACCAGAGGCTGTGTCTACACTGTAGAAATAATTCAGTTTGGCATCACTTTAACTGCCATGGCTCAATCCTGTGGAGTACTGGAATTTGTGGTCTTGTGAGGCACCAGCACTCCTTGGAAGAGAAGGCTAAAGACCTTCCCATTATTCTTTAGGACAGAGCTACAATATTTAAAGCGTGTGAGACTGCATTATTTCTACGATGTACCCAGAGTCTGATAATGATTATATGATACATTCCCCACACAAAAGGGAAATGAAACAAACATTCTAATTTACAAATATGTCTACCTTATCATCTGGAGAAAGTTCTTAATTGCTACAACTGAGTAGGAAAATGATTAGTAACAAGCCTACTTTATGGAAAATGGAGAGTAAATAAAGTAATTTTTTTTCCTTTCTACTGCACATTCTCAAAAGACAGGTTAAAAGAAAAACAACCCAAGAAATAAGGAGCACCCAGCTTTGAAATCATTAGGAGAAGTCTTGCATAATTCCTCATAGTCCTTCTCTATTCTATCAGGTTTAAGTTTGTGTGAATATTTCCGTATAGTTCTAGTCGCCAATTACTAAAACTGTTTTGCGGTATGAAGGGACACTATTCCCTATGTTGTGTGATTTGAAAATGTTTCAATTTTGAATGCACTGTTCCTCAGGTCCAACATTTGCAGCTGTTTCTTGTCTTACTGGGAAGCGTCAAGGTGTTGTCATGCTATACCGGATAGATCGCTACCCTGAAGATGCACTTGGTCCAGTTACTTTCATTTGGAAACCCACAAATAGGTCTGATGAGTCTTCTGAAAGTAGACAATTGTGGATGTGGATACACCCAGCCTTTAAGCAGGTACATGTTTTATTTTGTTTTTCTTGTATATTAATTTAACAAAACAAAACAAAAACCTTGAATTGCATTGAAGACAGAATTTAAACTGGACAATCCACATGCTTATTTAGATAACTAGCATCTTTCTCCAGTGGGTGAATGGACATTATGTGGAACTGTAACTCAGATGAATTCTTCCTCCTGCAGAGGTGGAGATGTTAACAGCCCAGAGCCTGGAATGCTAAGTACAAATGATGAGGTACCAGCATCCTTTCCTTTACCATAGGAAGATGATCATAGGAAGTTGCTTTATTCCTGATTATACTGTCGGTCCACCTAGCTTAGTACTAACAAGGAAAGACTCTGTAGGATTTCTGACAGAGATCTTTCACATAACCAGTCACCAGCATTTTTTAACTGAATGTGCCAAGGACTGAATCTTAGGATTTCCTCCTTCTAGAGCAGGGGTAGGCAATCTTTCCCCTTTAAGGGCCGAGGGACTTCAGCTCCCAGAATCCCAGGACCTATTGGCCAACATGGGACTATTGGCCAACATAGCTGAGGCTTCTGGGAGCTGAAGTCCTTCGGCCCTTAAAGGGGAAAGGTTGCCTACCCCTGTTCTAGAGTATCGAGTTCTGTCACTGATCTGCCTATGACAGGGGCAGGCAACCTTTCCCCTTTAAGAGCCGAGGGACTTCAGCTCCCAGAATCCCAGGAGCTATTGGCCAACATGGGACTATTGGCCAACATGGCTGAGGCTTCTGGGAGCTGAAGTCCCTCGGCCCTTAAAGGGGAAAGGTTGCCTACCCCTGGCCTATGACTTCTCCTGAAAGTAGTAGCAAAATTATATAAAGACATTTGAAACAACCCTTTCTCCTGGTATGGCAGAAATGAAACCAGGCTTAGAAAGATAGGTGTTTCACATAAGTTTTTTCTACTGTTAGATAGTAACAGAATTTTTTTTTTTTTTTAATGAGCATGGCTTCTTTTGGAAGCAAGGTCTAGCAAGTTAGTAGACATTTGTTCAGTTTGTAGGCTAACAGAGAAAGCTGAGAATAAGTAATCCTAGGACTTTATTTATTTCAAAGCATGCTACTATGTCTTTGCTGAAACTATAAAACAGGACATTCATACTTGAGCCATTTTCCCCATTATTCTGTAGGATATACTGGCTGAGTTAAAAGCAGCCTTCCAGTGTTCTGAACCCATGGATACGTGCAACCCTGAACCTGTTCCAATATTGTCTCAAGAAGAAAGTAAAATGTGTGTTGCTGAAAACATTGGCCAGAAAAGGAAGAGGAAAAACCAAGAAGGAGAAATGATGGTTGCCCCAGTGAAAAAAATCATTGGTGATGGAACCAGAGATCCACACCAGCCCTATTGCTGGACATCACAAACTACTGGGATTGTAATAAGGTAATCACTGTACTTGACTAGGTTCTCTTAAATTTCTGTTTATTTAATCTGTCCATGCTGTCTCAGTATTTCACATTTTAATATCTAACTCTTGTCTCTTCCAGTGATTTGACAATGGAGATCCTCAGATACCGATTAATTGGCCCCCTCTCTCACTGTGTCCTTACAGAAGCCTTCAAAGTTGCATCTGTGCATACAGTAAGACGATCAGCAGTTAAGACACTCATTCTTTTGCTATTCCAAAGATAGTGTTGCTTTTCTAGAATTAAAATGTTAGGATCCAACTTCCTGTGTTACAAATTCAAAATATGTCAGCGGTGGACATATTTTTTAAAAAGTGGGGCTGGTCAGAATCAGAAACTTATAACATGCTTCAGTATGTATAGGAAGACCCATGGATTTGGTAATACCATGTAGCCTGCCTGCTTGCCTGCCTATCTCCCTCATATATTGCCCTGGTACATGCTCCATAGCTCAGTATATTGAGGAAAAAACAGCTGTTGGGCACAGAGATGCAGATGTGCTACAGTGTATTTCCAGGCTTTGGACTCCTTGTGCATACTTCCTCCAATTTTTGGCCATGTCTTCAAAAGTTGGGTTTCATGTCAGTACTGTTTTTCCAGGGATTTATATTTATCTCTAAAAACAACTTTATTGCCTAAACTTAGCTGTAGATGAGTGGGGAGGAACAGATCCTTTGCAGAAGATTACATTTAATCAGAACCTTACAAGTTGTTATTGATTTACTAGGAAATGAATTCCAAAGATTCTGAAATTAATAGCTGGTGGATAGAAAAATGCAGAAACCCTAACCAGGTGTCTGTTCATCTCCGTCAGGAATCCACCTTTCAACTGCTGCAAGGTAAAATGCTAGTAGTGCTCCTACTCTTTCCATATGGGCTGTTATTGATGGATTCCTAATGCTTCACAGAACCATGGTAATATTAGTATGTTAGATTGCTTGACATTTGGCTGCTGGGGCTGAATAGCTGATGGTTCTTTCTGGTGCTATTGAGGTGTTATTCAAATAAGACTCTGGGCCTTTATGCTCTTGTGAGCCATACCCAGCAGTGGAGAGAACAACAAGATATCTGACTAGTTAGGATAAGCCACCCTAGATATCTGTGCCTTCTTCACTATTAGTTGATAGAGTTTTATTCCATTCTTCTGAAAAACTGCATACAATGTTTGAAGAATAGTAAAATGTGGTGTAAACCAGACTTGCCTTGTCCAAGCTGCACAGTATCACATACTAAGAGAGATGTTAGTCTCAACAGTGCTACAAAATCTCTGTACATATTAATCCTACAAACTAACGCGGCTATATCTTTACATTCTACCACTGTGGAAAGCACCAAATTTAGCCGAACAAAGTGGAAATCCATCATTCTTCAAGAAACTTGCCCAGATACAGACAGATATCTTCTTAACAAGTGCAAATGGGATGTCGTTCTTAAGGACCTACATGTGGGAAGCCCTTTGCAAACTATGTATCATGTAGAGCTCATGGGTTCTACTCATGCTGACTGTCTGCAGTAGCCAACATTCCTTTTTAGTTATCTTCAGTTAAACTCCTGCACTCCTCCTGTCTGTTCCTACCTTTCAATCCACCATAAGCATCTGAAGAAGTAGAAGCTCATGCTACAAACCTTTTTCTTTTTTTAATTAGTCTCATAGGTGCTACAGAATCCTATACATATTGAGAGAGATGCTGTTATGCAAGTACTAGCCTTTTTATGTAATAGAGCTAAGAAGTAACCAGTTGCAAGTAATGTAGTTACCAGAAGTGTACTGTCTTTTCTGATACCAGTGGCACAATTAACTTGCATTCCAAAGTAATGTAACATGTTGAGGTGAAGTTAAATTATTTGTGTAAGGAGTACTAGTTTGAATTCAAAAATTAATTTTCAGGGGCATTTTAGAGATATTTTGATTGGGGTTTTTCAGTCATGCCATTTTCTTTTCTAAAGCAACAAAAAGGAAAGGAAAGCTGATGGAGGTTTTTTTAAAAGCAACGAGAAATAATTGGAAACTAATGGACAACACAACAATTTACTTCTTAAAAAAGTTATATTTTTGTCTTGTATTTGAAACAATGAAACCACAGATGAACAGCAGTTGACATTGTTTTGATGCCATAAAAAGTCCTTGGTTTAAGGTTAGAAGCTGTTTGTATAGAAATAGATATACTCATACACTATTTCCCACACGTGATAGTGTTTGCATTTTAGCAAGCCAATGGCAAAGGCGAGAATGCCATGGAGAATGTCTTTTTATACTAGTAATACTTGCTGGCAGAGCTTTCTTTATAAAGGTGCATCCATTTTGTGTGTTTTAAGGGTTAAGTTCATCAGACATTCCATCAGGTACTGTACTGGGTTTGACTGTTGGGGATCCTCGAATGAATTTGCCAAAAAAGAGATCAAAGGCCATGCCAAATCCAGAAAAATATCAAGGTAAAGTATGCAATTATCCATCATGTTTTTGTAGAAAAGTAAAATAGTCTCATTCATACCAGGTTAAGTTAATGTGTGTTTCAGCATACTGGTCTTATGACTTAGCATTGTAGTCAATACACTGAACAGATGCACAGTTACTAAATGGGGATTATGTAGCAATTGTGAGGAAGGGACTTTGCACCAAACTGGTCTTGTGCTCAATGGAAGCCTCTGTTAAATGGTACAGATGATCCAGGTTCGAATCCTGGCGAGGCCAACAGGTGCTATAACCTCAGATGCAGTATTTCATTTCCATCTGCTTGAATTTTCTTGTGAATGTACTCTTCAGGAGGAAGTGTTAACGAATTCTTCCTAGTTAAATGATATAGTCAAAGTGTTTGCCCTGTAGTGCTTGCATAAATATAGAAATCCTTATCTCTAATTGGAAATACAAACCCAAGAATTCAGTATTCAGTGCCACTCAACCTACTTGTGTTACTTTGTTCATAACATGTTTTTCCTTCTGACAGTTATACATACCGGTAATTGTTTTCCTCTAAGTGTGATTTTGAGGATATAACATCCTTTTAAATAAAATTCTTTAGACATCCACATAAATAAAATTCTTTACACATCCACTAGTCTCACTTGAGATATCTGCATCTCTTCTACTTTCAATGGATTTAGCTAGTTCAGACATCTCAGACCAGTATCTTCACAGGAAGAGTATTTTCTCTCCTGTGTGGTTTGGGATCCTTTAACTGGAGAAGCTAGAGCCTAAACCTTGGTTTCTCTCTGTGCAAAGCATGTGTTTGGTTGTGGTCTCTCACTGTCCAGGGCAATCTTAAAATTTAGGGTGCTCCCTTTTATCAGACTCCTCTCTCTGTCCCAGAACCCAATGCAACCAAGGTGCTTTTCTCCTTGCCTCTGCTGTCAAGCAGTTGTAGTTTGATGTATACTGAGCCAATGACTGTGTTATAATCACAAATGCATCAAGATCTGTTGCATCTTTTATAGTCTTAAGAAGCCTGGATCTGAATTTTGGATATATGAGACAGAAGGGGCATGTCAGGACTCGCAAATTGTCAGTTGCAGCCTCTTGAGCCTTTCACCGTTTGCTTTTGAATCTAACAACCCTTTCTGTTTCAAGACATTCTACAGGCAGTGCATGTTTGCAGGCAGTGCATGTGAGCCAAAGTTGATGGCAGAAGAACAAAGGGTAGAATGAGAAGATTTTAAATGGATGCATGTGGGGAACACTGCAATGGCTTGGATGATGGAAGACCCCTTTTGCAAACAGCCAAAGGGAAGACAGCATTTTAAAAGAAAATATAAGAACACCTGCTGCCCATTGGGATAGTGCTTCACAGATTTTCTTTGAGTCATCTTAATCTTCACAGAGAAAACAATACATTTGTTTTCTGTATACTTGGAAATTAAATGTCCACTATAATTGTTTAGTATTAAATTCTCTTACTGGCAAGAAAATCTTTCACATTTTGAGCAATGCATTTTATTCACAAAGGCTCTACAGCAGGGGTAGGCAACCTTTCCCCTTTAAGGGCCGAGGGCCTTCAGCTCCCAGAAGCCTTAGCCAAGTTGGCCAGTAGCTCCTGGGATTCTGGGAGCTGAAGTCCCTCGGCCCTTAAAGGGGAAAGGTTGCCTACCCCTGCTCTACAGTCTCTACAAAATAGTTAAGAGCAGCATTTCACATTTCATCAGTTAGTATTCATCTATAAAAATTCTGCTGTGTATTAAAGTAGATAAAGTCTTCTGAATAGCAGAGGCAAAGTTACAGCCTTTAGGCAAATATTCTGACATGCTAAGGATGTAACTCATTCCCCCTTTTTTCTCTATTTTCCATCTGTGGGAGCAACCCGTATACCAAAAGATAAACAAAAATGAAGACAATAAGCATATGTTCTCACAATTGCCAACATTAAATACAGGCAAAGCAACTGTCCTTCCACGCCCTAAAAACCGAATGCCAGCTGTCTAAATAGAGAACAGGCACACTGATTTCCTGCATGCACTTTATGAAGATCAGAGTAAAAGGTTGTTTAAAGTGTTCATAAGCTTCTTAACTGTAAAATCAGCAAATGGCACATCAGCATCTGATTTTATAAACTAAGGGCTGTGAAAGGGGCTGCAACTCCATACTTTAACACTAAAGTGGAAATCAGAATTTGTCATCTTTATTTCTGCCTTTTAAAATGAATATTATTCAAAATGTTTCCTGTTTTCATAATAGTAGAAGTTTTTCAATTCCACAAACTCCTGGAAAGAATATTATGGCTTTTGTTAGATTACAGAGATAGGTAATGTTCATTTTTTTTTCTAGCTCATAATGTCCATTTGCTTTTATTCATTATTTTTTTGCTCTTGGTCCTCTTGAACCAAGTACAAAGGCTATTATGCTCTTACAATAAACATACAAATGGCTTCTCTGATGTGGTGACCTGAAAATTATTAAGGTTAAAAGTGTTAATCTCTACATTTTGTTGTTGCATGTTTCTCTTGTACTCTATAAAAGTGTAGGCCAGATAAAATGTGTTAAGGTTTAAGATGCCTTGTTGTGTGTTTGCAAGCTGCTAGCCTTTCTGGCATAATGGGCTTCTCTTGTTTTTCTTTTAGAGGATAAGGAAGTGAAACAGCTGATCTTAGAAGGCGTGCCTGCAGAATGTGCACAAAGTTTTCTCTGGTACCAGAATATTCGTAAGAGTGTCACAGATACCAAAATGTCAGAACAGGTAACTTGAGCATAATTAACTATGAAGAACTTGGATACAGATAGTTTGTCTTTGTTTGTGTGGATATTAAACCACATACTTTTGAGACATGAAACCATACATTTGAAATGTTTGCTTGTGGACCTTCATGGTGTGATGTAATTAGAGTGCTGTGCTTGTTTAAATCTGCTCAGTCCAGAGGTTGGACTGGTGGCCTAAACTAACCTTGTAGGGTTCTTTTGAGCACAATGCAAATAGATGGTGGTAGTGATGCTGTTAGTTTTTTAGAGGTAAAGTCATATTATTTTTCAAAATTAAAACATGTTTGCATTCCCTTCCTAAAGCGACACCAATAACAACACACTTTCTTATGATCACAGATCAGAGACAAGCCAGGTGGCTGCAAGGCAATAAGAAATAAGAAAGGAAAATACAGTTCACAAGTACAAAAATTTCTAATACAGTGTATAAACATGGGTGGCAATACAGCAGCCAGTACCAAATGAAAGCTAATATCATTTACTGGAAGTATTATAAATTATAAAACACAATTATAAAACTTGGCAAGCTTCAGAATGGATTCTTTGGAAGAACCTGAGGGCCTGAACAGACTGCCAGAAATAATCCAGTTTGAGACACTTTAACTGCCCTGGCTCATTTCTGGCAGTCTGTTCAGGCCCTCAGAGAAGAAAAATGTAAAAATGATCAGGCCTGCCTAGGAACTGTTTCCACATTGGTTCTGTCAGTTGGAAATGAAAGTCCTTATAATGCAGGCAATATAGCAGAAGGTGAAAATGCCTGACTGACAAGAGCAGATACGCTATACATTGGGGATTCATAAACATAAACAGCAGGATGTTAAAGTATGCCAGAGTAAAGGCTCTGCGATACTTGTGAGTATCTCTGTTAATTCATATATCTGCAGCTTCTCCTTAATATACCTCAACCAGAGCAAAATCTGTCATTTAGGATCGGGGGTGGGGTGGGGGGCTAAACTGGAAGAGGTTAAATTCAGTTTAAACCAGTACATGCATAGAACTGAGCATGCACCTCAAATGGGACCATTTTGGATTCTAGTCTGAGCAGAGCAGAATGGAACTACAAAAATAGCACACAAAAATTTGGCTTGTAATGCTTCCAGGAGTCAAAAGTTCTTAAAAATACACAGTTGGGAACCATAGAGAATTTGAGGTATTACTTTTTCCTGGAATATATTTATCATAGATAGAATATCTGAGTGTTCTTTGGAAAAGAAAAACCCAAGAATGGTAACAACTGACCTTTGGGCATTCTTGATGGTATGTGTAGACTGCCCTTTCCATGCCCTGGAAAGTTGAGGTACTACTCCCAAGTATTTGTATAACTTGTCTTATTCTGCATCATGGCTATTGATTTGCCATCTATTTGCAAAAGCTAGGATTTTAGTTCTATAGCTCCACTGCACAACTGAAATTGAGCAGAGCTGCAGCAAAAACAAATGCTTGTGCTCTAAAACATAGGGAGAGTTCCTTTTGGCATAGAGGATCTCTATGCTAATGCATCAGTTTTTTGTGGAGATCAGTTTCCCATGGTGTCTGGAACTACAGGTGAAGAGCTAGGCTGCATGGACCTACAGTTGTCCTTGTTTTCTTTCAGTGATTGAGAGGTTGGGGTCCATGTGAAACCAACTTCAATAACAACATTCTGTGAATGAACGTTTACTCAGGATGTTCAACTGATTATGTTAAGATAACAATAGGCCAAAGTATTTACAGTTAGAAGTAACAATCCTTTTTCTGTGTTTTTCAAGTGTACTTTCCACTCTTTACTTAGGAATTGAATAATCTAAGAAGTCAACTCTTAGTGCCTGGATCACGTCTTGACCTGGGCTCTCGAGAATCCAAGATTCCTATACTCTTGGTTCAGCATCCTGGGAAAACAGCTGGACAAGATCGACCAGGATGGGGAAGTGGCTGGGATATTTATCTTCCCAAAGGCTGGGGCATGGCTTTCTGGCTTCCTTTTGTAAGTGATGTTTTATTTTGAAATACACTGGAAAATTTAACTTTGTACACATACGAACATATATAGATGCTGTTTCAAGATGCTTGAAACTTGGTGGCCATCCCTGCATGTTTAAAATGCTAGCATCTAAGCCAGGATGGGCAGTGTGATTTATTTGATATCATGCAGCCCATGGTTTATACCCAAAATCACCTACAAAAGATCAGGTCAGGCCTTTGCAGGAGTGATCTCTTCCTTATTTGTGCTGCTGCTGAATCTTCTGTGACCCCAAATTTCATGGTCTACTGACAAAGCCTTTTTCCCCAAGTAAACAAGGCATAGTGGTTTTTAAGGTAGACTATGGTCCTTTATAGGCTATATAGTCTATATAGATTATATATAAAGCTTTATAGACTATAGCAAAGCCTTTGACTGCATAGATCATGTAAGGCTATGGAATGCCTTTAAAAACATGGGCGTGCCAACACATCTGATAGTCCTAATGAGGAATCTGTACTCAGGACAAGAGGTTACTGTCAGAACAGAACACAGAGAAACAATGGTT